AGAGAGAGAGAGAGAGAGAGAGAGAGAGAGAGAGAGAGAGAGAGAGAGAGAGAGAGAGAGAGAGAGATTTTGTGTCCTTTTGTTTCTTTATGGTTGACCATCCATGTGATCATCGTTCCGCAAGATACATTGTTTTGGCCCACAGAAAGAGAGCAAGAAGAGAGAAAAAAGAGAGAGAGAGAGAGAAAGAGAGAGAGAGAGAGAGACAGAGACAGAGACAGAGATCTGTGGTCAGTATTGGGATCATTCGCTCAAAAATCTAAGCGCAGAAGGACTTTGTACTTCATACCTTCCAAGGTGTTCCAGCATATAGCGAGATTACGAGGCTCGTATTCAGCAGAACCTCAGGATACCCCAGTGAACCAAAAATAGGCCATGGACTTGGATCAACTAAATGATAAGGATGATTTGGGAACTCGTAATCATTGCTTCGCTCCTTTGTTTTTTAGTCTATTTATTAGACCCCCAAGAAACATAATCTTCCTCGATAGTGAGATTATGACCAAAACCGAACACGAAGAAGCCCCGGCTCATGGGAGATCATTGACAGCTGTGCTGCTCTGGGAGGGCCATGTACTTCTCTAATTTGCAACTGATAATGATCATAAATAATAATCATATACTAATCTCCAAAGCAGGCTCGTTTCTATGCAGCTGCTAACGTTGCTGCACTCCCGGCTTCGTGGATTTCAAATCGATGAAGGGTTTGGTCCATCCTTCAGCACACACTTCTTGCAGCATCTTCTTGTCAGTCCTGAAGAGGATCCCTGACCCATTGAACCCATCGAACCAGACAATGTGGAATCACGACCATGTGGAATCACGACGATGCGGAATCACGACAATGTGGAACCACCACGATGTTTATTTTGCCGCCTCCTTTTTCCTGACATGCCAGGTAACGAAGTAACAAACAAGAGTGAGGTGGACCAATTCCACATCGTCGTGATTGCACATCGCCATAACCACGACGATGTGAAATCGGTCCACCACGAGGTGAATAGATATGTTAAAGAGTTTCAGCCTTTCAGGCTTTCAGCCATTTTTTACCTGTCTTCGTAAGGTATTCAGTCTTTTTCTTTCCCTTTTTTTTTTTTTCCAAGTCTTATTGTTAACCATACTTGACCTGAAGAGGTACCCCATGCAGTGCATATCCATAGGAGCGATTTGACAGGGTGTAAAAGGCCCAATTGGACAGGGGCAAAAAGGGCCCCATTGGACAGGGGCAAAAAGGGCCCCATTGGACAGGGGCAAATTTGACAGGGGCAAAAAGGAACTAAGGGGTTCATCTGCAAATTTGACAGGGGCAAAAATAAACTAGGTGGTTCAGGCAAAAAGGACCAATTGCACAGGGGCAAACAAACACTAAGGGGTTCGTCTGCAAATTTGACAGGGGCAAAAATAAACTAGGTGGTTCGGGCAGTTCTCTCTGCCTCCTGATGAGTCGGTGAAACTCCGACGAAACAGTTTGTCACAGCCCCTCGTTTGTTGTCCTCTTCTCTCTCTCTGCCTACGGTTTACCGGGCAGTTCTGTTTGTGAAGATATATATATATATATATACTGCCGCCGTCTGTTCTGCGTTGTCCCTTTTGGTGCCCAAGGACGATATCAGAACTGTATGATGCCGCACTGTGATGAACGTCCTGCTGTTTTTTTTTACACGTGGACAACATGTCCTCTGTCGG